TTAGAGAGTAACGAACACAAAAAAAAAGAAGGAGGAGAGATGATCAGGACGATAAATGTTTGATAGGAAAGAAGGAGCAGACCACACCTGGGCACTCGCCAACTACCCACGTCTGAGTGTGTGTGGTTATCACCTCCTTACCACTAGACCCAGAAACGCCAGGTCAGTAGACGTGAACAAGTGCATGCTGCACACATCTGCAGTACTCTGACGAAACGCCTTTTTCTTGTTCACTGCAGTTTTGAGAAATCAGCGATTTTCGGTTTTCTTGTAATATTATCTCTTGAGCACAGGGAATGACATTTTTCTTCAGGTTTCGAGATCTTCCGTTGATGTACTGTGCAAACTAGCTTAAATGTTATATAAAACTAGTTTAGTTTAGTTTTAGTAGAGGTTTTCGGCGCTCGCAACTGCATAGGGTCATATGGCGCCAGGAGATTAGAGGTGTTACAAGAGAGTAACAAACATAAAAAAGAAGAAGGGGAGATAAGGACGATAGATGTTTGATAGGAAAGAAGAAGCAAACCACACCAGAGCACCCGCCAACAGCCCACGAAAACTAGTTTAAATGTTGTAAGAAAAACAAAAAAAGGTGATTTTTCGAAACTGCTGTGAATAAGAAAAAGGCTTTTGTCAGAGTACGGCGCAGCTTATCTCGTAAATCACACAGAACTCAGAAGATAACGTCAGCCAGCTGGCCGGCTGTTCTGATGTGCTAAGCCAAACTGATTTTTGTGTGTTGCGGTTTCTTTATCTGTGGTATGGGCTGCATGACTGTGCTCGAGATCAATATATTTTTAATTGTTATCGTCGAAATTCAAGTTCTAGTAATTGAAGAAAGCAAGGACAGCTTAATACAGTAGGTAAAGTTGTTCCCGTATCCGATCCGGACATTGGGTATTGCCTTGTTAGTGAGACAACTTCCTGGGCCTTCGGTGTAATGTGGCAGGGTGGCCAGTTCCTTTCCACACCGCCTTTACTTCCCCAACTCGAAGTCAGGTTCCCATTACTGTTGGGTGGGCAGGAGGGGGCGATAAAAATAAGTGTCCGAACCGAGGCTCGAACCCGGACTTTCCCCTTTCTAGACGAGGGCACTAACTGCTCCACGACCGCACCCTCAATAATATAGGTATAGTTGTTAAAAGAATAAAATAGTTTTTCCTGTGCCCTCAAGTGATTTTTTTTCTGGGTTCAGTCCAATTGAGCATCTTGGCGACGATAGAGAAAATGAACTGCATCAAGAGATAGTCGACGGCACCAGTTTTGTGGTTCTGCTGGCACCAATATGACAATGACTTAAGGAATCCAAACTCGGCCTGAGAGCGATACAATACAAACATAATTCTAACAGGAAAGACATCGGAGATATTCCATATAAAGTTCTAGACACCCGGGTATCGAACTCGGGTCACTTGCAGGCGACGGCGAAGAAGCTCCTCTTACCACATCACCACAGACGTTGACCCACACGATGACCCAGTTCCCAAAATTCCATCAGCAAACGACCCGAATAAAATGCCGCGCGACAGTCCTTTATAATGCTGTTCTCAAAATTGTAAAAAAAAAGAAAGAAAAAAAAAAAAAGAAAAGAAAAAGAAAAGTCTACAAAGTCGTTTCCATGTGCACTTGTAAGCCCGCCGGTAAACCCAACCAGAAATTAAGGGTTCAAGCGTCAGCTCGGTCCGACGTCGTGTCCTTGGGAAAGGCACTTTACACGAATTTCCCATTTTGGCTTGGTCCTTTCGGACATGGGCGTTAAACTCGGAGGTCCTGCCTCTTGAATAACCCATTAGCATTGTTAGGGGCGTTAAACCTATACATGTACCATTTCACCATCTTCACTAGAAGCCAACAGATAGAAAGTCACATATCTCTTGGAAAATCGATAGTTGTAATAGAGCACCAACGTTTACACTTCAGCAATCAGAAAGAGTTTTGTACCGATGTGTCCCCCATAAACGACCTTACTCCCTCGACGAAGGTCGGATCGGTTGGAATGCCGCTTGCCGCATTTTTTAAAAGTCGGGTCGTTTGGAGACTCATCAGCCATAGACCCAGAGCAAAACCCAGAGCCAGAGCAAAACCCAGAGCCAGAGCAAAACCCAGAGCCAGAGCAAAGCGAAATTCTATTTTTCAGTTCCGATTATAAATCTAACGTCATATTCGTAAGCAACGCCACGATATTTAACTACCCCTTTAATGTGTTCAATTGTTTACGCCACTTTAGGAACATGCCCCCTTTAGCCTGCAGCACTTTACGGTTATTGGTTTTAGAGATATCGATAAGAGCCGTTTTTTTAATACAAATTACTATCACACTCGACACCGAATGTGTAGACGTTTGTCTAATCGTAAGCTGATTGATCTCAATGTTTTTACGGCTTGTTGTGGTGCACACTTGCCAGACATGATCACACTTCACTTGACTCATAGAGCATGATCACACTTGACTCATACTTGACCCAAATGACATGATCACATTCTTTGTTTTTATAGTAAGAGTTTATACGGCGCTCGCAACTGCATAAGGTCACACGAGCGCACGGATGATCACACTTGACCGATAGAACACGATCACACTTGACCCCTGGGCAGACACTATCGTCACAGCTGACCTTCTTCTATACTCAATCACGACATCCTCATTCATTGCTTCCTTTACTGAGACCTAAACGTGTTGACCTTATTGTTATTTCACATTTTAAAAATATCATTCATCGTTGTCTCGCTGCATAACATTCAAGGAAAGTGTTAGATAGGAATCCACAGGGTAAAAGGTCAAAGGGAAGACCACGTTGAACCCGGAGAAGAGTCACTTAAATTGATGAACAGAAAAGTGGGAAGACTTGGAATAACACATTAATTAAGAGGCTAGCCCAGGGTAGGGAAAGGTGGAAAGTGTTTGTTCGTGGCCTAAATCCGGATCCAGGGTGAGAAAGGCAATAATGATGATGACAATTGCTGTACGTCAAAAAACCCTTTAAAAACCCCAGAAGTTTTCAGGCGAGGGACAAAAAAAGCGGTTTAATTTCGTGCGGTATATCATCCAAATGCAAAATGTACCCTACCCGTACGTCGTGTTTTACCCTCGTATCCTTACGACGTGGGGGAACTCTGTGCCACCACTTAACCCTATTCGTACGTCGTGTTTTACTAACGTATCCATACGACGTGGGGAACTGTGTGTCACCACTTTCCAAAGAGGAAATTGCTCGTTAATCCGATCCGTACGGTTAGCATAGCAGGTTGTCAAAATGATTTTTGTTGTTGTTGAGAAATACTGAAAGTTTCAAAGACATCTTCGTACTAGACATATTCTAAAATGTGAAGAATACAACCTCGGGGGTACAAAATGACCCCAGTGCGTAGGATAGGGTTAATTCGTCTCAGTCCATTACTATGCCGAGAAGAGAACTGAGACCAAAAAACCCATCAAAGCGACTCGGTGACTCCTCAAAGTCTACAACATATATTCTTGTGTGACCGGATTGACCGACTGTTTCTTGTCCCTCTGACACATATCGTTTATTCGTTTTAGGAACTGCATAGCATAAACGGTGAAGACTATTGTGGCAGATAAATACGAGTATTTGGACAGTTTTGTTAGGATCTCAACCATTAATGAGAGTGAATGCACCAACCTCAAAAAATCTTCTAAATAGAAGTCGTTCCGCAATCTGATACTACTACTACTACTACTACTACTACTACTACTACTACTACTACTACTACTA